CCCCCAGAAAATTTTTCAAATTAGACTCCCTCAGACAAGTTTTCTGCGCGAGCAAGGGGGGGTACGGACTTCCTCGACCCCACCTGTACACGCCCCTGCTCGGGCGCGAAGCGACCAGGCGAGGGAGCCAAGCGACCGAGCGGGGGGAGGGTGTGGGAGGGGGGTGTTCACTGTTCACCCTCCCGCACGATGGAGATTTTGCAATTATTACACTAAAATGGAGCGACCTGAGGTGAAATTCTTGCAAATTTGCATTTTTTGCTTGGGGGGGGGTTCGTTCGAACCACCCGAACCCCCCCTGGCTACGGGCCTGCTATATACTGAAATGAAAATCACATGAACATAATGCCATAAGATATGATAGCACATGTGGTTTAACAGTGATACAGTCTGCAATGAAGTAATATGTGTTATATGATTTTTAGCATTTCTTTGATACCCCTGCCACGTGCACAAACAAGCGTTTTACAGCAGTAATAAAATGGCTTGCATCAAAATTTTATTATTTCATTTGTGCAAGAAAAAATATGAACTGAAACTTTCTAGAATGGGTTTTCTTTGCCTAGAATGCAGTATTCCCCACCCCCTACCCCACCAATCACCATCATCAAAGGCTTTTCAAGTCACATAGGGATTTATCACACAGCACCCAACAGCCAAGATGAGGGCAATTGTTAGCAAATTTTTTATGATAAATGCCGACATAGATGGTGTAGTGTTTGTATTAATTATGGAAGTTTAATTTTTTTTCACAGATATTTTTCATATGGTCATGTATTTCTTATTTCTAAATTACAGGAATTTTCTGCTTCCCAACATTAACTGGACTAGCTATATATGCTGACTGGTCCCATACGAGAGACTACAAAAAGAAAAGGGCATTGCGGGCAGTACAGGCACCAACAGAGACACAGTTTCGGTGAATTTCTAAAACAAGGTAATTAATAAAATCGTAAATTCTTGGCAAAAGAAATTTGTACGTCTGTGTGTAAAAACACTGATGTTGTTGTGAGTACGTGAATCTTATTAATAAGCTAATAATTTTTAGCTCATCTAACATAGTCAGATGCAGCTTGTAGAATCGCATGAGCGTGCGTCTGGCCGTGCGTCCGTCGGTGCGTCCGTCAACAGTTGGCCACAAATCTAAACGGCTCGACGGGGATGTGGGAGGGAATCCGAAAACGAGTTGGGATGTCGAAGCTGGGGGGCAAAGGTCAAAGGTCAAGAGGTAACTTTTAAAACTGCATTCATTGTATGTGGAAACGTGGTTTACCATGTAAAAGTATCCGTATAAAAACTATATTAATAACTGCAAACTGTTTATAATAATTTATATGAAATGATAACAATACATCGCAATAGCTATCGACATTATTTTCCATTATTTCTCGTTATGTTAGTTTAGTGTCTTCATCACGAAAGTCCATGAATATCATTGCCTAGATGTTGCGTATATTATAGTGAATATATTGATAAAATTGCATAATTTTTGCTGTTATCATATATGTTATTTCATTGTAAAAGCATATGTATCTGCAAAAACATGAAACACCATTCACATGGCAACTCGCTAACTTCCAAGTATAGTATAATTTCTCCATCTGCCCATTCTCTTCCTTGTTCTCTTGTTTGCGTATTCCCTTCATCTACTTCTCCGCATCTACTCTGCATTATCTTGCTGTATATCCCCGACTTGGTTCTGTTTTTCTAAATTTTCCACCTTGCTCTTAATTACCTTCTCCAGGCTGGCTTCTTCCTCATCTCCCTCTCTGTCATGATAGCAACAGAGTATAGTAAATTTACGAACATTATTTAATACACAAGCATCGACCCTACAACAAAGCTGCCACGTTTGTTTGCTAAGAGCACGCGCATGCATTTGTTTTGTATGCTACCCATATTTTGCAAACAATTACTTATTGGCACTATTTCCTACATCACCTCCATCTTATATTTTTTCTGTATTACCGCCATTATTTCCTTCCCCACCTTCTCCCTCTCCACATCAGTTCTATACATTCTCCCTGGCGCTGTGGACTGGATCCCTATAGCTGGCACCTTTCCACTTTCTCCCTTCATTGTTTCTTCCATCATCTTCCCTCCTCTACCACCTGCACCATTTAGAGCCCAGAGGGGTGATTGATGACCATTATTGTTCTCTGCAATATGTAACACTTACTTCCTAATGTGCATATACTAGTATAAGGGCATATCAAGGGAATATTGGAAAGATGTGCAGCTAGAGAGAGCAAGCGAGATGGTGGTAAAAACAACGCCTGACAAACTCATCTAGCGAATGTTATCATGTTATCTTCCTAACCTCAACCTCTAGCTCTCTCTCTCTCTCTCTCTCTCTCTCTCTCTCTCTCTCTCTTTCCCTCCTCTCTTCTCTCTCTCATCTCCTCTCTCCCTCCCTCCTCCCTCCTCTCTTCTCTCGTCTCTCTCTCTCTCTCTCTCTCTCTTCTCTCTCTCTCTCTCTCTCCTCTCATCTCTCTCTCGTCTCTCTCTCTCTATTTATAATATATATAATATATGTGCTGTGTGTGTGTGCCGTGACGTGCGCTGCATGCATGCGTGCGTGCGTGCGTGCGTGCGTGTGCGCGTGCGTGCGTCAGTTAAAGAATGGAGGACAGGTAATTATTATCATTATTTCACTGTTTTTCACGTACTATTATTACTATTATTATTATTATCATTATTAGGTTACAGATAGGGGAAAACAAAAATGGGGAATGGTTGTGTGAAAGTTTTATTTGTGACGACTAGCCATACATCTTCCCAGCAAAAAATCGTTTTGCTACTCGGATGAATGTGTCCCGTTTAGCTTGCTGGTATATTTGCAGATATTTTGTATGAAAATATCACAAGTTTTTAGTCATAGATAAACGTAAATAGTGATGACATTGAATAACACTATTTATAAGAAAGGTAAAAAAAACCTAACTAAAATAATTAGTATTGGTGGCGACGACCACGACGACGATGACACTTATTGTGCTGCCCTCAAGCGGAGGTTTGAACCATAGATTGCCTGGCGTAAACGTAAGGTATTTGGTTTCATTACGTTGTTGACCCAAACGTGTAAATATAATGCGTTACTTATAATGCTTTCATATTGAGCAGTTGTAACGACAGAAGTGTGTCAGTAAACCGATTTATTAAAGTAACGTGCGCCAAAGTAACATACTAATTACTATAGATCGACTTGGAGTCGGACCGAGTGAAGCCCCGAATTTGCGATTCCTCGTCAGAGGTCATGTCATGATATTGATAACAACGTCGGTTCAACTTCAATTTCAAGGATATAAGAACTGTCCCCAATGAATTTTCCTAAATGTGCGACATGTGCAGATGTGCAGATGTGCAAATGTGGACAGTCTTATATCTTTGGGCCACGACGTCCACGTAGTTAATTATTTTAATATTTTATTTTGAAGTAGGCCTATGGGAACGGCGCGTATGCTTCTAAGTAAATAGGCCTACTAATGCTAATAGGGTCTATGTCCCCCAGGGTACTGCCGGAACGTACCCCGGGTACGGTCCGGTATACCTGAACGTACCCTGGTAGTAGGCTGGTACTAAATACTACTATCTAATATGCCGGACCTTACCTCGCCTACTCCACTAACGAGTCTAGGGAGTCGCATACGCCTACTCCCTAACCCTAACCCTAACTCTAACCCTAACCCTAACCCTAACCCTAACCCTAACCCTAACCCTACCCCTAACCATATCAGCTAGATAGTTACCAGTTACTAGTTACGTTCCGGCAGTACCCTGGGGTACATAGACCCTATCAGCCCTACTAATGTGCATCATACTGACACAATGATGCACCTTTCCACATGATATGTATCGTACAGAATAATACAGAATTTTGCATCGTTTCATTGTGTATCACGTTTAAACATGGGCATCATTCTGTGATGATGATGATAAGCACCCAGGGCAATAGCTAGAGCTACTCAGCTAGTTCCAGTAAACAATGATGTCCTGTGATCACTGACCAAATTATCTATAAAAGCATGTGTAGGGGGGTTAGTATGACATAATTACAGTGCTGATCACCTATTTAACAACATTGACGTTATTACATACATTTTTTCCAGGTTGTAACAACAAGCATCGGACTTGGACGTGGCTTCTGTTGTTGCATGGCAGATGTAGCTAAACGACCGGCACTGCGGTACTTGATCTCACGGCCGTTACGATTTGTCTGGAAACACTTGGGCACGTGTTGTCATTAGTAGTTATGTTACAATAAGAAAATGTAAAATGTTAGGTTAGATACTTGTCTAACAGCCACCATATAAATATACGAGCAAATGTACAAAATGTAAAATATACAAGAAAACCTTACAGGGGCATGTCATTATGCAGTAAGCATTACCTAACTATTAGAACCAAGCTTGCCACAAAAATAATGTCATGTATAAGTGTTTTTGCTGGGAGCGGGTTTTCCACGGGTGCCACGGGATGAGAAACCAAGGTATTTTATATTTCCAAGGACAAGTACCACCTATTAACTTTACTAGCTGTCCATAGGAGGTAAAGTTTTCATGCTATAATCCTGCAGCTGGATTCATGGAGTGTGGGGTGTGCACTCAGGGATTATTGGGTTAAAAAAAATTACAGTAAAATACTGATACTATACAGGCCCGTAGCCAGCTTTATATTGGGGGGGGGTTTGTTTTTCAATGTTGGCAATTTGCTCGGCAGGGGCGTGTACAGGATTTGTACTAGAGGGGGTCTAACCGTAACCCAAAGTTGCGAGCAAGCGAAGGGGGTGTCTGGACTCCCTGGACCCCCCCTGTACACGCCTCTGCTCGGGCGCGAAGCGATCAGGCGAGGGAGCCAAGCGACCGAGCGGGGGGAGGGTGTGGGAGGGCGGGTGTTCACATGTTCACCCTCCCCGGCACGATGGAGATTTCATTTCGCAATTATTAGCACTAAATGCGGAGCGACCTGAGGTGAAATTCTGCAAAATTTTGCGATTTTTGGTCTTGGGGGGGGAGGGGGGTTCGTTCGAACACCCGAACCCCGCCTGGCTACTGCGGCCTGCTATATACTGAAATGAAAAATCAACTGAACATTAATTGCCATATAAGTATGATAGCCACATGTGGTTTAACAGTGATTGACAGTCTGGCAATGAAGTAATTATGTGTTATTATTGATTTTAGCATTTTCTTTGTGATACCGCACGGTGGCCGAACAAACAAGCGTTTTACAGCAGTAATAAAATGGCTTGCATCAAATTTTATATTTCATTTTGCAAGAAAAAATATGAACTGAAACTTTCTAGAATGGGTTTTCTTTTGCCTTAGAATGCAGTATTCCCCACCCCCTACCCCACCAAATCACCATCATCAAAGGCTTTTCAAGTCACATAGGGATTTATCACACAGCACCCAAACAGCCAAGATGAGGGCAGATTGTTAGCAAATTTTTTATGAATAAATGCCCGACATAGATGGTGTAAGTGTTTGTATTAATTATGGAAGTTTAATTTTTTTGCACAGATATTTTTCAATATGGTCATGTATTTCTTATTTCTAAATTACAGGAATTTTCTGCTTCCCAACATTAACTGGACTAGCTTATATCTGACTGGTCCCATCGAGAGAACTACAAAAGAAAAGGCATTGCGGCAGTAAGGCCAGCAACAGAACACAGTTTCGGTGAATTTCTAAACAAGGTAATAATAAAATCGTAAATTCTTGGCAAAAGAAATTTGTAGCTCTGTGTGTAAAAACACTGATGTTGTTGTGAGTATCGTGAATCTTATTAATAAGCTATAATTTTTAGCTCATCTAACTAACATAGTCAGATGCAGCTTGTGAATCGCATGAGCGTCGTTGCGTCTGCCGTGCGTCCCGTCGGTGCGCCCCGTCAACAGTTGGCCACAAATTAAACGGCTCGACGGGATTGTGGTAGGGAATCCGAAAACGAGTTGGGATGTCGAAGCTGGGGGGCAAAGGTCAAAGGTCAAGAGGTGTAATAAAAGAAGGGGGAACATTCCTTCTTTAACTTAAGGTATAGGGAGGAAATGCAGAATTGCGGCACAAATCTAAACGGCTCGACCTAGGCTCGTGATAGTCGGTGTATAGCATCATGGTAAAAAGCATCACTGTGCCGAAATTGGAGGTCACAGGTCAAAGGTCAATGGGCACAGGGCAGATTTTAAACATTTTCTGAGGACATGGTCTGACGAGGCGATTGAAAACTTTTTTGTTTTATCGGTGACCTAGCATTTTTATGGCTTTAATTGAAAGGGCCATGAAATGTACTTTCGCCTGACATGCCAAGAGTAAGCGTCGGATACCTATTGACCTCAAGCAGGAGGGTTAAACATGGATTTGTTTACTGTAAGAAAGAATTTGACTGGGCCGGGTTTGCTAGTAGAATCTATACATGCCTGGTGTATAGGCTACAATTGTCACAGTGAAATTTCCAAAGCTAAATTGGTTGAAGAAGGTTATTGCTCCTTAAAGGCATAATAGCCCATCGATATGTGCAATTTTTAACAGAATGCTAGAGTAACTGGCACTTGTGTAGTTAATAAGTACATTACCTTTAGCCAAACGCGTATTCGTTTGTCCAATATCACTGCTGGTTACTAAGAAATGTCTAATTGAAATCCACAGTCCACGAAATCAGTTGACTGACTTGTTTACAGTTTCGAAACCCATACTTCGAAACGCGCTGTGCATATCAGATTTATAGTCCACCGGACATTTTCGCACGCATGCAAAAAGCACGCACGCATGCATTTTCCGCTCGGTTACCGTATCAATGCTAGCGATAGTACAGTACCGTAACTGTAATAGCGTAACAGTAGCTCTGATTGTAATGAACGTGGAATCCAACGTACGAATCACGGACGCTCGTGATAATGAAGTAGGCTGTGTTGGGGCCAACGCTATGGGAGGATCGCCGCACTAACCACGGCCACAGACTAAACATGGAAAGCAGACGGCACTACGCGTATTTTACGTATATTGGGTCAAAACGAATACACCTGTGTCTGAAATTGAAGACATGTGGGGTACCGTTCATTAGCACCCACGGTTATTTACTTGTGCCGCAATACCGAGAATACACCCAGAGATACATTCTAACAGCTCATTAGCGTATATAAGCATCCCCGGGACAAACAATTCTCCTGCTAAACACCGTAGCAACATGTGACGTTGCCTAACGAATTCGAGGCTTATTTTGCTTGGCAACCAATTTAGCGTTGGCGCCAGATTACCAGATTTACGGATTTTCAATTAGACATTTCTTTAGTATTAAGCAGTGATATTGGACAAACTAATACGCGTTTTACTATAAGGTAAGTACTTATTAACTACAGAAGGTGCCGCCAGTTACTGTTAGCATTCGTCAAACTTTGTATAATCAATGGGCCTATTATGCCTTTAATCGTATAATTTCTATGGCATTCTGTACTGTCAGTGTGTTACATGTAACTTATGCCACTGCCAGTGCATGTGGTGGTGGATAGTACTGTGTAGTTTTTGCTCGTTAATTAGTTACAGGTGGCAGCTCTCTATTTCAGCCTGTAGGCTTGCGTAGTAAATGGAATGAGTGCTTACCTATTCTGTCTTGCAACATAGCTTGTTGCCTACTACATACGATGGAGCTCCATCTTTAATTCTAAGACACTTAACGTACGCGCCATCTCGTGGCAACTTTCATAACGATCCCAACGAACATTCGCTTTGAGAAGGTTCCTGATACCATCCCTGTGCCTTCCACTGTTTCGGCGCGTATGTGAACACATTTGGGACTAACAGGGTTTACTAGAATCTCACCACTCTACCACAGAGTCACTGCAGTAGACGTTAGATGAGCGCTGTCGCTCCGTGGCACTTGTTGTGTAATTAATTTTCAAGTGTAATTTTATTAAGATTCTCTCAAGCTCCATACAGTCTGATGGAGGTGCACAGCTTTCATTAAATGTTCTTATTCCAATTATATTTCTATGATTTAATAAGCTAACTCTAATGTTAATACCCTTATGGTTACTAATGGAGTCTGATTTTTTTTGCAGCCACTTCTCTTTCACATTATGGTCTGGACGTATAATCCTGGAAAACTGCCACCTGGTGGTCATTTTGGGCCAAAAACCTTGCTTTGGTCCGTCTTCCCACTCACGGGTATGGCTATTGGTTACTACTTTACCCAGACGGAAAAGGCAAAGCTCAGTGAAATGAAGAACCGGACCTCCCTCCTAGGGGACATCGAAGGAAGGCGCAAAGCACAAGCTGAGCGATTGAAAAGGAAGAGCAACGAGTTTGAGTAATAAGCATGGTGAACATTAATTCGCGTCGCATTCTTGTACATTCAGATCATTACACCTTATTAAAGACCGGAATGCTAGGTGATGCCTAGTTTTATGAAAGTTGGAAAAAAGCTTCGAAATATTGAAGGCATGTTATCAAATTTAATCCACTGAAAATCTTTTGCTATAGTTCAACAGTTTGAGTAGAAAGGCTTGGGTGATAATTGTAGCAATGTAAAAATTAAAAAAAAATCTTTAATGAGTTGCACCAATGTTTTTGTGTATTGTTTATTGAATGAGTACAATGTTAAAGATCTATGAAGTTAAATAGGCATACAATGTGGTTCTGTGGTCAAGAGTATACTGTTTACATATTAAAATATCTATGTTCCTGCTAAGTTCGTTTCTGCTAGTTTTATCACAGTTAACATCGATTTTAGAACCAACCTACAGTATAAGGTATAGGTTACCTGAAAGATGTTACAGTTTCTCAGATCCTGGTATTATTTGTCAAACTTGCTCAGACATTACTATTTCTCAGTTAACAAAACTCAACCATGCAATAATTGTATAATATCAGTAGTATTTAAAAAACAAAATTGTTGTTCCATCCCGATAATGTGCGTTCGTGCGTGCCTGCGTGCGTGCCTACGTACGTGCGTGCGTTCGTGCATGCGTGCCCGTTCGTGTGTGCGTGCATGCGTGCGCGCTCGTGTGTGCGTGCCTGCATGCGTGCGCGCTCGTGTGTGCGTGCGTGCGCGCTCGTGTGTGCGTGCGTGCGCGCTCGTGTGTGCGTTCCTGCGTGTGTGCCTGCGTGCGTGAGCGCTCGTGTGTGCGTGCGTGCGTGCGCGCTCGTGTGTGCGTTCCTGCGTGTGTGCCTGCGTGCGTGAGCGCTCGTGTGTGCGTGCGTGCGTGCGTGCGCGCTCGTGTGTGTGGGTATGTGCGCGCGCGCTTGTGCGTGTGTGTGTGTGTGTGCGCGTGTGTGTGTGTGTGTGTGCGCGCTGTGTGTGTGTCGTGTGTGTGTGTGTGTGTGTGTGTGTGTGTGTGTGTGTGTGTGTCGTGTGTGTGTAGTGTGTGTCGTGTGTGTGTGGTGTGTGGTGTGTGTGTGTGTGTGTGTGTGCACCGCGGCGGGCGTTCGTGGGTGGGTGTGTGTGTGCGCCGCGCTGCGCGTGTGAGGTGTGTGGCGGTCGGCGCTGGTGTGTATGTAGTGCAGATGCCAGGGGGGGGAGGGCACAGGGGCGGCGCCCGCCCTTAGAATTCTTCAGGGCAATGGGTATTTTTTTCCCGGCGGCGTAACATCCCTCCCCCCCCGCTCGGGGCGCTTGCGTGCGCCTTGAGCTGCGCATGATTCCGGCCCTACGCACGATCGCTCGGGCCACCACGCCCCTAGATTCAATTGGCTGGGATCTGCCAGCTTGATCGTTGTGTGTGTGTGTCCGTGTGTGGTGGTGTGTTGTGTGTGTGTGTGTGTGTGTTGTGTGTGTGTGTGTGTGTGTGTGTGTGGTGTGTGTGTGTGTGTGTGTGTGTTGTGTGTGTGTGTGTGTGTGTGTGTGTGTGTGTGTGTGTGTGTGTGTGTGTGTACTGTGTGTGTGTGTGTGTGTGTGTGGTGTGTTTGTGTGTGTGTTGTGTGTGTTTGTGTGGTGTGTGTGTGTGTGTGCTTGTGAGTTGTGTGTGTGTCTGTGTGTCGTGTGTGTGTGTGGCGTGGCGTGCGTGCGTGGGCGTGCGTGCGTGGTGTCGTGTGTGTGTGTGTTGTGTGGTGCATGTGTGTGGTGTGTTGTGGGCGTCGTTGGTCGTGTCGCGTGCGCGTGGCGTGTGGCGTTGTGCGGGCACTGGCGTAGGCGTAGCGGGGGGGGGGGGGCACAAGGGCGGCTCATGGGCCCCGCTCGTTGATTGGGCCAACAAAACAAAAATTTTTTTTTCCTTGGCCTCTCACGCGTCTTCACAGGACTGGGCCAAATTCCTGATTACTTCTGGGCATCTGCGAACGCAACATCTCTAAAATGAGCATTGTCAAGTGCTAACTTGCGTTCTAGCAGTGACCCCAGCCACTGATTCCTCTGGGCTCTCATTCTCATCGTTTCGTTGAACGGATTAGAACTGACAATTTAATTCAACGAAATCTTCAAAATGTTCTGTGGCAAAATCGACAGAGAAGACTTGACTTTGGCAATTTCTGACGATTCTCTGCCAGCAGAACAAAACATGCACTAAACACGAAAGGAGATATCTCTTCTTTGCTCAGATTTGTGTTTTTGCAAGTTGGCTTTGATTGATATTTTATGGTTCTGAAGCGTCTTATTTGACAGAGAAAAAGAATGGAAATCTTTGTGAAATAAGCTCTTGATATATTCGAACTTATACGACGCGCCCATCTTTGGCGATTCGCACCTCGGTTTTTATTTTGCAAATGACCGATTTCAACACTATTTTAAGTAACTGTTCTGCTATCCCAGGGACGGCCAAAAAGCAATTCTTTTCAATGGTAAAT